CAGCCCGCGCCGCTCGACCGCCTCCCTCGCGCGTCTGCTTCTTCTCGCGCTCGCCCCCGCCTCCAAGCGGGTCCCAACTCCGCCCGCCTGGCCCGGCTCACGTCACCCGCCTTCCCCGCCCCTGGACCTGTCAGGGTCCCGCTCTCCACCCAGCCCTGCCCTAGCCAGGCTCTCTGCATGGAGTTGTGTGTGGCCTGGACGACAAGCAGGCAAGTCTCCAGTCCTCCCCTTCCCCATCCCTGGCCTTGTCCCGTTTCCCACCTTAAGACAGGCTTGGGAGAGGCCGCGGGCTCCGATTGGACCGCCGGGCGCCGCCGGATGGTGTTACCACGGTAACCGGATGGCATGTGAAGCAGTTCGAGGTTCCGACCCGGTTACTGGTGCGCCCAGCGGACCCACAGAGCTACTCTGGGGAGGGGGCGTTCTTGAGTGAGGGTCTGGGACGCTTGGAGCTGGGACCTCAGGAAAAGTTTCCCCTGGCGCAGCTGTGCTTAAGCGTCAGGTTCCAGAGTCTGTTGGGGGCAGGGAGAGGCCTCCAACAGGGTCCTTTCTCTTCCAGGTTACTGGGCCCTGGCCCTAGCGAAGAAATCACCGCGTTTCTTGTCAGTTCTCTGCCACTGGCTAAGAAGGAACCGAGCCTTATCCTCTATGCCCGGCGCTTCCCCAAGTCCCTGGTCTGGGGGCCTCCACCTCCCTCAACTCCAGCTGCCTGCTGTTAACTCAGGAGACCTCACTGGAGAAATCAGCCCCTTAGACTCTTACAACTCTTCCTCTTGAGTTTTTGCCCCTTTCCTTTGGGAAGGCAGCCGAGCGAGATCAGGCTGTGTTTGGAAAACAGTGTGTGAATGAAGGCAGTAGTCAGGTACCTGGTAGGGGGCCCCTTCCACCTCAGAGAAGGGACACTGGGCAACCTCCCCCACCCCCCACCCCCCACCCCGTGGGAAGCGAGACCAGCTGACTCCTTGAGAAGCCACTGACAGAGTTCCAACTCACTGTGCCCTGAGGAGGTGCCACTCACAGGCCTCCAGGGTTTCTGCCAAAGGACTTTGCAAGCCAGAGAGAGGACTCTTTCCCATCAGGCTTTAGGGCAGACAGGGACAGGAGGCCAGGGGTAAAGGGTGGCAGGATCCTAGAGATGCAGTTATTCCACTTCTCTGACCCTCTGCTTCCTCACTTGTAAAATGGATTTCACTGTACCTTCCACAAAGAGGTTTTGGTACAGGTGAATGAAATAAGATCACTTCACTGAACTATTGGGATGCAAAAACAAGGCCCTGCTTGAGAGGCTTGCTAAGCAAGAGCAGAGACGCATTGGGGTGTCAGGACTTGGCCGTCCTGGAAACTTAGGAGTCACTCTCTCCCTAGAGCCCTGTTCTTAAGGTATTCGGAGAGAGCAGAGGACCAAGGGGCACCAGCAGGTCTCAGAACAGGCCAGCCCTGGATCACCAGCACTGAAGGGGTCTACACTGCTGCCACCTAGCGGCATGATGGGAAGGTGCCAGCACAGGGCCCCATCTGGAGCCAAACTCACCGGAGGCGAGGAGGTGAGGCCCTACATCTGATGAAGACCCTGACTGGACTGGGGGACTCCCAATGATCTCTGTCTCCCCTTTTAGTCCTTCCTACCTTTTCAGTAGTATGTCGAAACGATCTGATCTCATTTCAAATAAGACTTTTAAAGCTACGACATATTAGGCTGAGAATTAGTAGGAAACCGGTGTTGGGTGCTGTGAAGTCAATTCTGATTCCTGGCAACTTGACATCACTGCTCCAGAACTGCTCCACAGAGTTTTTTCAGCTGTGATCTTTACACAAGCACATCGCCAGGCCTTTTGTTCCTCAGGGAACCCGGGCTGATTTGAACCACCATCCTTTGAATCAGCAAAGAGTACTTACCATTTTTATGCTCTCAAGACTCCTTTGTAGGAACTAACTGCATTAGTGCCTCTGAGTTGTGGTGCTGAAGAAGAGTCTTGAACATACCATGGACCTCCAGAAAAACAAATAGGTCTGTTTTGGAGAAGGTGAAACCAAGTTTCTCTTTGGTGGCTAGGATTTTGAAACTCCGTCTCACATACTTCGGGCAGGTAGCCCTACCGGTCCTTGGAGAAGGACATCATGCTCAGAAGGGTGAAGGGACAGCACAGGAGAGGAAGACCCCAGATGAGATGAACTCATACACTTACTGGGGCAATGGGAGTAAGCAGGTTGGAGTCAGTGAGACTGGCTCAGGATAGGGCAGGCTTCAGAGCTTTGTTGTACATAGGGTCACTATGAATTGTTGGCAACTTGACGATGCCTAACAACAACATATTATCAAAGTATTTATTAATAAAATTACTTTCAGTATAGAAAAAAATCTACTGGTGGTTCCAAATAATGCCGTAGTTCTGATGTCATGATACCAAGCAGTTATCTAGAACGACAGTCCTAAGATAGAATTCTTCTGTTCTTAGTCACAGGTGCCCTTATACCTTTGTCGTTCGGTCCCTGCATCTATAATGGACTCATACCCAAAGCAAACCCACTGCCCTGAAGCTGACGCTGAATTGTAGCAACGCTTCGTTGAGTTTCCCAGACTGCAAATCTACCTTTAAAACTCATCTTTCTTCTGTGGAGAAGTTGGTGCATTTGAACCACTGGCCTCTCAGTTTGTAACACCCCACAGAGCTGCTGATAGTTAGAATGGGGGGACCCTCAAAACTGATGGTTGTTGAGTCAGAATTGACTCATAGGTTACCCTCCAGTGGGCCACCAGAGGCCGTAAATCACATGGGAAGAGACTGCTCATAGTATTCCTGTGGAGCAATGGGTGGATTAGAACTGTCTGCCTTTGGGTGGCAGCGGAACTCCTTACCCACTGTCACTGCCCTTGAGGCAATTCCCAATCCCAAGGATGCCTATATGTGACAGAACAGAACTGCGCTCAATAAGATTTTCAGTGATTGATTTTTAGGAAGCAGATCGCCAGGCCTTTCTTGCAAGGTGCCTTTGAACTTTCAACATATCAATTAACAGCCATACAAGTTAACCCTTTGTACCACCCAAGGGGTTAAAGTCCGTCCCAAAATTAAAGATGCAACATTGCAACACGTTTCTCATCTAAGCTTCAGAATTCTGACTTCTCTTCACAGGACAGGCCTCTGAGGTCCTTGCCCCAAGACTGAGCCTTGAGAGAAGGTAGAAGTATTTTCTGAAAGCAAGATGAGAATCGTAATAAGTTGTGGCAGGGCTCTCCAGGGGAAGTCAGAGCACCAAATGATGGAGCTATAAACAGAGGAAGCTGCCATCCTGTGGGGAGGGAGGAGACCTCCACCTGCCCACCCCTTCCCCTCTTGCCCAGGTCCTAAAGGCCCATCAACACTGGCTCCCAATCATCTGTTCTTCCTAGGACAATCTTTTGCAAACATCGGGCTCCTGCTTTGTGTCTCTTTTCTCTTCTGGTGAAAACATTGTCTAATTTTTTTTTAAATCCTGTGATACAATAAAACCAGGGCTTATAGCTCACTATTTTCTGTACTTTTCTGTAGGGACAGATCTACTACGTTTCTGACTGGTTCATTGTGGTTTGTTTTTTTTTTTCCTCTGGGGTAGGGGGAAATGGGAGGATGGGCTGGTGCTTCACACACACACACACACACACACACACACACACACACACACACACGCCTAACCCCTTCTGCATGAGCAAAATAAGGATTTTCAGAAAGGTTCCTTTGTCTTTCCTGGGTTTTGATCGTTCTGGTCTCTGGAAGGACTCAGCTGAAATCACTAGGTACCAAGGACCTGGCTGAGTCTCCTCACTTACCCCTCACCCGCTTCCCATTCCCTGGCCAAGCCCCGCAGGAGACTCTCGGAAGCTATCTTAGGCTTCTGTATCCACTGATTTACCTAATGGCCTTTGCCGTCTTGACTATTTTTAAAACCCATCCAGAGTCAAATTGAGCTGCCATTGTTCATTTTTCTCCCAAGGAGGCAAATGTGTCTTAAGCATGACATTTGATTAAGTAGCTAAGTCGGTGATTTTAAATGGAAGGGAAAATGCTGATTAAAAGTATTATGGGTTTCTTTAAAGCGCTCCCTCTGAGATAGTCTCTGCCTCCCCGGTATTCTTAGCCCCTTTTTGTCCCCCCAAATAAAGCGTGGAGGGGAGGACTTCAAAGTCACT